TAACAAGGTGAGAGAAATATTTTTAATGCTCTCATATAAACAATAGCTCTTTAATGGCATGGCTCCCCATAGTACTACAAAGCCATAGTACTTTAAAGTCCCTTTGGACAGTTTAAATGTTTTAGATTTTGCAGTTCGGATTCTAGTGTGTATTACCTTTTTTACAAAACAAAATGGTGAGGTGAAGCAAACTTTATTAACATGTACTTCAGCAATAGTCTCTTTGGGAATCTTTTACATTTCTAAATCATTCATAATTGCTTTACTTCTGCCTGCATCTACATAATTGCCTATATCTGTACTAAGTCCAAGAATCTTAAAGGATCATTCTTAGTTAATCCATTAAATAAGAAAATCTCCCTGCAAGTGTCAGGGTGGAGGAAAGCCAGGATTACTTCACTGAGGTTAGAAAAAGAAAATCCTTAAATTGTTTTTTTTTAAAACTATTTTTAGCTCTCTGTTATAATACTAATAATAATACCACCTTTTCTGGATACTCCAATCAAATTACTTTAGAGGTAATGGGGACTCTCCTCCGCCAATATTTAGCACCCACCCTGGTTGATGAGATACCAAACAAAGTGCACACAATACAGTATAGTCACCGCACATCAGCTATCAGTGCGGAGGTGAATAGAGTAATGAAGTCAAATTACTTTCTAAGTAATTAGGACCCATACAGACTGCAGGGTAAGCACTCCCTACTGGTCCCCCTAACACCTCTTCCCACAGCAGCCTTAGATTTCCAAGGAGGTCTGCCATCCATGCACTGGCCAGGGTCATACCTACTTAGCTTCAGTGGGTTGCCAGTTGTGAGGTGCGGGTGATATACTGTAGCTGCTGGTTATAAAGTTGAAGCTTTAGCTATGAAATACTGAAATGGATGGCAAAGCTCAACCACGAACATTAACAATTTCAAACCAATTTTGTAAGGGCTTTAAAATATCAGCCCATGAAAAAAATATCATATGCAAAAAAAAAACTTTTGGATTTTATGAACTAGATCAACATACAGCAGGGAGATTCAACACTCTACCTCTATATAAGAGCTGATTCCATGCTTGCACTAGAGAAAGGGAAGTCATAGAAACCCAAAGTATATCATATGAGGAGCACCTATAAAAGCTGTTCTCATAAAATTCAAATATTCAAGAAAATGTGACATTGCTGAATTTGAAAAGAACTTTATCAGTTTGACCAGCATTTCTATAAATAAAAACTATGATGTGAGTCGTGCTGTATGTGTCTACACTTTTACAGACCTCCAACAAAGTGTAGAAGACTAAGGGAGGTGAACTCCAAAGAAGGGTTAAGATTCTGACTATGCATGGGAGAGGTTTTCTGTTTGCACCCAAAACAAATGTCTTTCTGCAACTAAAGCCTGTGATTTTTCACAATTGTGTGTTTTTTCAAAAAGGGAAAAAACAGATTGCATGATGCCAAATGGAATGTTCCTGTCCTGTTTGTTTGTGTTTTGCAGACTTCTGTAAGCATCTTGTGACTCCTGTGAAGCGTTGTTCTGGACCCTGTGCAGATGGTATAATCCAGAAGTAAGTGAAAAGGGATAACTGATCGAATGATGAGGATCAGGAGGGGTTGACAGACGGGGGGGAGTGAGGATGGCTAACTGGTGCTCGGGGGGCGTAGCCCGGGTGAAGAAGTCCAAGGAGCCCAGGGGGGAAATCTGGGGCAAAGTCCAAAACGTAATCCAATCGAGACAAGACAAAACAGAGTTAAAAGCTTGAACAAGATCTGGTACAGGGATGGGGAATAAAAACGGTATTACGAGGCCAGGTGCTCTGAACCCCAGACTAAGCTGGGTCAGGAGGCCGATAGGTCCGCGGATGTAGGCCGACTTGATGGTAGATGGGCCTCTGGGCATCCGTCTTCTGATGCAGAGCGAGGAGTAGCGAGAGCAGCAGGCATAAATATGGAGGGGCAGGATAGGGGGCAGGTATACATAATTAGGAAAGTAAGAAAGAGCCGGACCGCCTTTAAGAGAAGGGATTATGATCGTGAGATTTGTGTGCCTTGTGTGTTTCTTTAATATGTTAAAGTCTCGCCTACATGCACTGCATTAAAGAAAAAGTGTAACTACAGTTGAGCAAGTATATTTACTTTGTGCTAGGGGAAACCTATAGTATGCTCCCCTTCTGCTGATTAAATAAAAATATTGATAATCTCCTATCCCGAGTAAAGACTGAGTTTTCTTCGATAAATGTAATCAAATTATTGTGTAGAAGTGCTACAGATGTAGCCATTCAAAATGCATGGTACAAATCTGTACAGCATGCAACTACCCACAAGCCACCAAAATGACCGACAGGGGCACTCGTGGTGCATTGGTCGGTAGTGAAAAGATTTAATAATTTAATCTCTTTACTGTGCATGTTTTAATCCGCTTAGTATTGAATATTTATATGGAATTTTACAATGAAAGGGAAATTTTAGTAGCTAAGCATAAAAAGAAGAGAAGCATAATGCATCTGATGATCATAAACTATATTAATTTAGGAACATAAACATATTATGCAAGTTGTATATGGCTGGTATTGGTAGTTTAACAAAAAAATACACACCAGTATTCAACTTTCTTCCTTAACATTTTAAGCATCAAAGTCTTACATGTGGATATTTTGGAAACATATTTACGTGCTCTTTCTGACCATATTAAGTTTATATACTTTGTGAAAAGTGATCATGTTTAAACCTTTTCTGCGAATACGCTCATTATCGGAGTAAACAAAAGCATACTTTTAGAATTTGATTAATAGGGAATACAATATGGAATCACGTATGTAAAGAAATTAATAAAGGTATATTCATATATTGTAGCTCAAACAGTAGTATAAGACTTTGTGTACTTCATTTTTAGTGTTTTCCATGTGACTGTGTCTGTGGTGTGATGGCTTAAGTGATTGACTTATAAGCCTGAGGTCTGGTGTTTGAACCCAGCTATTGCCATGAGCCTCCTTTTAACAAATATTTTTTTTGGAAAAGCTAAAATAGGAGATGTTATGGACACTACTGTATATTGACCTTTTTTATATTTCTGTATAATTGTTCAAAGCTAAGTCATTTATTTAAAACAACGAATAATTTGAAGCTGCTACTACTGTCATTATTACTGATAATAAATATTATCGACACAATATTGAATTTGTAGGTCTTTCTAAATATCATAAAACGTTCAAAGTTAAGTGATTACCATTTTCCATGAATACTTGTGCTTGTTATCACAATAAAAGAAACTCATACTTTTCAGAATTTAATTATTTAAACAATAAGTCACGAGAGGGTATGCTGTATCGTGGATATAGTCACAGATAAAAGGTGTTGTTAGGCCCAATTCAATGTGGAGGGCCGGCAACCTTTTAACTGTGACTATATCCACGATATAGCACAGGCCTCAAGTGCCTTATTGCTTTCATAAAATGGTCCCCAAATATGAGAGTGCTGTATACACTGAATTTTAATTTAAAAAATTTATTTGACACAAAAATTAAGATGTTTCTCTTAATTTTTGCCTGAGACTATAGTCCCTCATTGCTACGCAAAGCAGAAACACAGCCACAAGTACCATTAGCTAGCAAAGAGGACATTAGCTAGCCAATATGATATATACAAGGGATAAAAGCAATTGGCAAAAAAAGACCTGAGACCAGGAAGAGAACAGAATAAGTTTGTTTTTCTGTTTGAAACGTGTCTTGTCTTTATGAAATTCATATATTGTAAACGTTTAATTAAAAAGAAAAAAACTTACAGCATACACAAAACTTCTAAGCTGATCACGAGGAAGAAAGATCATCTATTTTTCGCGCATAAAAAGTGGTTATTAACTATTGAGACCTGTTTTTATAGCTTTTAAAATCATGCAATGTCTAAGTTAAGGAGGAACACATCATTATATCTCATTTTTTCTTTCTTTTTCAAAAACTAAAATAATTGTTTGCCCAGCCTAAGGCGTTTATAATATAAGGGCGTATCTAAAGAAATTAATAACGATATAATTATATTCATATACTGTATGGCGGAATAAACTCAAGAGTAAGTTAATGTGACATGGAAGATGATATTAATAACATAGCACTTTCAGGCTCACACCCTACCAGCAGGGGAATTGAACCCAGGCCTCCA